AGTGTCATGGAACTGTACAGAAACTGGATTATTACCATTAATGTATATTAATTAATTAACTAATTATTAATAATTTGTGCATATATACAGCCAGTTGGCCTTATTTGAAAGAGAGTTCTTTGTTATTCAGCTAGTCTCTAAGTAAAATATTTTGAAAAATTCTTGCGAGCTGTGACAAGAAGCATTTGGGAGTTTGGCTATATTAAAAAATTTTCCACATCAAGCAATTCATGAACTGGCTTTAGAGCAATTAAAAAAATTCATAAAAAATCAAATCTTGATCGGAATCAGCTCAGGGTTTATACACAACATAAGTTCATGTATGTGCATTGGAAAATGTTATAAAAATTGAGAATTTTCTACTTGACATTTTTGGTGAAATTTGGCCAACACCCCTGATAGTACAGGGACTTTGACCCAATTTTTGAGCAACTTCAAAAATTCATAAAAAATCTAAAATTACATGTCATGTCATTTGTACATTGTTTCAGTCCAGGGCCTTGTAATGGTATCCACTTAAACTAGGCATGTATAAGCAGTCTTGATTGAGCTATACATAGGTCTGACAGAATGGTTGCTCTCTGGTGTCCACTCTCGTGGTGTGTTCTAGTTCCTTCACCAGCTCATTCAAGTACAGAATATATCATCACTGGGTCTGTTCTTCACTCCGGCCTGATTACTGGGAGAGAACTCAACTGCTGTAGCTAGGATCATCAGCACTCCTGTGTACCAGTACATGTGTCATTATCAATTATTAATTCATTCTCACTTAGTACAGGCATTGTCTTGGCTCTGGGCAGAGGTGGAAGTACAGTTTACTCGTCTGAATTAATATATTAGTGCTACCATACTTCACTGATTTATACCACCAACTACCCTGAGGAGCGGGGCATAACCGTAACCATGACAACATTAATGATAACTTACAACAATGATAAAGAGTCCAATAATTAAATACCAACACATACGCACCTAGAACCTATTAATAACTATTAATAATTAGTAATTAAAGTGACCACACCTACCATAACTAGTTATTCTTGTCAACAATCCAAGAGAGCAGTGCTATACCAAATGAAGCAGCTCTAGGTCCATCAGGGTTACAATACTTCTCCCAGTTCTCCCTAGCCTCCTCTTGAGTCAAACTACATCAAACAAGACAGACCCAATCATTACTTTAAACACATACAAGTGACAATGTGTGCATCCCAGTCTCTTTATGGAGGGACTTATGCTTCATAAGCTTTAGCTATTTTAGTGAATACCTCAGGGTCCCCTCCTTTATCAGGATGATGGGTCACACATAATAGCCTGTACTGCTTCTTGATCTGAGACACAGTAGCTCCCTAAAGAACTGATCCATTAAACACAGCTGGATATTATGATACTCCATACCCTGTCAATCCCTAGTATTTTTAATGGATCCCATTCTTCAGATTCACCAACTGGCTCTTTGTGTCACTGCCCAATAAATCAACCAAAATAAGAACAACCTGCACACCAATAATACTAAATAACTAACAAACAAACAAGAGACTAACTTATAATTACTGACAATAATTACAGTGCATGACCCATACTAATGCAATACTGTATAGTGGAAAATTTTCGTGGCCAAAATTTCACAAATCATTTCAAAAAATCAATGTTGTCGCTTTAATTTTTGCAGTTTTCTACTTTTCAGCCATTTTTAACACGTATTGAATCATATTTTGCAGATTTTATTGTCAGTGAATTTTGAAAAAAAGCAAAATCCACGCAAATTTTAGGCCAAAAAATTTTTTGCTATAGACCCCTTTCGGCGAGAAGTAGCAGCTTGTGAATATCATTAATTTTGCAATGAATATCATTATATCTCAGTTACGGTATACGCCCACATACAATAATTGGCCGCCATGTTTTACGTCAAGCAGCAAGTGCTTTCTGTGTCCTGGAGATCTTAGTCACTACATTTTGAAGCTAAAAACTATTCTAGAGTCAAGAAAGATGCCAAGAGAGCCAACCTAGGAAGTATAGTGCAATACTCTTGTTGTATGAGCCTGCTTTCCTCTTTGGGCTGTGACAGAGAGTCAAGAACTGATCGTTCTGGCTCTCCCAGACTTCTTAAGTCTTCAAAATATCTTGCTATAGTAAAGAACAGTTGATATGAAGCCTCTTATAGTCCTGAGTTCAGCACAACAAAAGTTTTATTGGCAAAACAGCTCTACTTTGCACATCAGCCATTGGAACTCTGCATAACTTTGACGTAAAACATGGCGGACAAAAATCCGTTCAATATTATTTCTTTGTATATACGGTATCACAAACTAATTCTCGCCTAAAGGGGTCTATACGGTAATTGAGATAAATGACATCATTAATAATTACCATATTATTTTAAATAGCTTATCTACAGTCAGTCCTTTCACCACTTTATTTCTTTTCTGACAACATGGCCCACACTGGCACTCACTCCCTCTGTCATCTCCTAACAATGACATTAATATTCTAATTAAAGCCCACAATACAGTACCAATTCAATTCACTTTTATTGCTCTTAGGCCAAAGGAAGTAAGTTATAACTAGTAGGAATATCCCGTAGAGAAGGATTATGAAATAAGGAAAGGTACCACTTCCCTCGTTAAACTCTATCTGAACCATCAAGAGTCAATGGGTGCGTCAATAGTGATTAGTGAATGTCTGAATGACACTTAGGACACGTGTGTACACGTGGTTAGGGTAGACGCGCCCCTATATGATTATTGGTAGACACGCCCTATCGCTTTTAGAAAGACGCACTGTGATCAAGCTGCTCCTGCAGTCCTGCTGCTAACTGTTTTGTGCTTTTTTTACTTCTCATCTCAAGAAACGTCTTAATAGTGCACTAACGAGAAATGGATTATTATGGAAGTCCAGTAAGCGTTATGTAGTATATCAGTAGAGGATATGATTAATGTATTGTGGAGTACCATAAATGTTCAAATAAAAGCCCGGGCGTTTATTTCTTTCCAGGACAAAAAAAATTGCTTAAAATGAAAAAAGAAAAAGGAAAACTGGGATTCGAACCCAGACCTCCAGGTTCAATGAACTTAGCTTAACAAGTTAGGCCATTTGGGATACTCTAAAAACTGTGGTACTTATATTGAGTTAAATATGCGTATCTATACTTGAAGATTCTTAGTACCAGGCGTTTATTCAAGCCCAGCCTTTATTTGAACATTTACGGTATATACATGTACATTGTGTCAGTGTTAGTGAAGATAATGTAATGTGTACTGTTGATGAGTGTTTGATCTGGAGCGGGATACCCTCAGTATACAGTCTCTCCTTTATATATTACCCACTATACACTGCCGTATAACCAGTAATTTTTGTGGGTTGCAAATTTTGCGGATTCCTTCTGAATAAAATCCTCAAAAATCAATTTAATACAGTACCTGCTGACACATGTGGTAGAATTCATAAAATTTAAATCTGAGAAATGAAATTTTAGGAGATTTCGCTAAATACGTATAGGATCCACGAAAATTACCGGCATGTTATTATCACTTGTGGGGAAGGTATAAGGTCAGGAGGATACAGGGAAAGGGAGGAGTCCCACCTTTACTGTATAAGTTACCCTAAGCATACAGGACTGGCCAGCAATAAATTGACATGTTTAAGTTGAGTTTGAGTTTGCTATAGTTTGCATATGGTTTACTGTTTCCATAGACACATACATTTGTACATGTATTAGTTGTAAACTAATATCATTCATGCTCAAATGTTACCACAATCTCAGGCAAACATAA